GCGATTAAAGTTCTCCATCTGCCCCGGCCGTCTCTGCAGCGCATTTCCTGTTGAGAAAAGACAAAAACAAACTTGTGTTGTGATGGACTAACTGTCGCTGCTTTCAACCAATAAAAAGAACAAGAATCACAGTTTTAGCCAATCAGAGCAGAGCAGGGCGGGTCCTGCTGTCTGAGCGGAATCAGAACTGCAGGTGAAGTAATCAGAGATGATCGGACTTTTCCAAGGACTTTTTTTTTCTTTTTCCGACCCGCTACCAGAACCACCCGCCCCGCATGAAAGCAAAGTTATGTAATAAATTATGAAATGTCTAAGCGTTAAACGCATTGATAAATCTTACTGGATTGGGCGTCACGTGACCTGGGCGTGCTTCGCAAGGGGGATTTTTATGCATTGAGCTAATGCTAACGCTAACCATTGAAATCAATGAGCAGAACGTAGTGCTTTGCAAAAAGGTCTTAAAAAGTCTTAGATTTGACTTCTGAAACCTGCAGATACCCTGGATGAAAAAGAGGAGGAGGAAGATGAGGAGGAGTACCACTACGTGTATGAAGATGAGAAGGCAGACCCGGAGGACGAGGACGAGAAGCAGCGGAGCAGTAAAACAGCAGAGAAGACCGACGAGGCCAAGATCTTACAGGAAGTCAACGGTTTGTAATGTTTAGCTCATGTTGTCCTTCATCATCATCATCATCATCATCATCATCATCATCATCATTATGGATAAAATCTCTGCTGTAGCTTGTTTTAATAACTGAGACCTGATTTAAGGTCTGACCCGGCTGAATTCCGGTCGATCTAACAAGCTGTCGTCCCCCCTGGCAGCGGTGTGCACCCTGGAGGCGGAGACTGGCCCCTGCCGCGCCTCCATGCCTCGCTGGCACTTCCACCTCGGCCAGAGGAAGTGCGTGCGCTTCACCTACGGCGGCTGCGCCGGAAACCGCAACAACTTCGACTCAGAGGAGTACTGCATGGCCGTGTGCAAACGCCTGAGTAAGTCTGAGAGGACCCGAAGACCGGGTCTCTAAAACCTGTCCTGTGTCTCAGACCATAAACCGGTCCAATAGAACCTGTCCTGTGTCTCAGACCATAAACCGGTCCAATAGAACCTGTCCTGTGTCTCAGACCACAAACCGGTCCAATAGAACCTGTCCTGTGTCTCAGACCACAAACCGGTCCAATAGAACCTGTCCTGTGTCTCAGACCACAAACCGGTCCCACAGAACCTGTCCTGTGTCTCAGACCCTTAACAGGTCCAACAGAACAATGTGGGATTCTAAGTTCTAAGTTCTACACCTAAAATTTTGTTCAGCTGCAGAGATCCACCTCACCTTCATCACAAAAATCACATTTATTTCATTTCATTTTTTTCAGTGTAAGAGAAAATACTTAAAGTAGCAGAATACTAGCTAAAGCTTTAACTTAGCAGAATACTAGCTAAAGCTTTAACTTAGCAGAATGCTAGCTAAAAGTGCCATAATGGTAGCTAAAGACTAATATAGGCAATACACTAGCTGGAAGACAAAAGTCGCAAATGCTAGCTAAAGACTAACAGAAGCAGAATGCTAGCTAAAGGCTAAAAGTAGCAAAACTAGCTAAAGTGTGAAAGTAGCGGAATGTTAACTAAAGACTAAAAGTAGCCACATGCTAAGTAAAGTTTAAAAGTAGCAGAATACTTGCCAAATGTTAAAAGAAGCAGAATGTTAGCTACAGGATGAAAGTAGCAGAATGTTAGCTAAAAGTAACTGAGTGTTACCTAATTTTACAATTAGCAGATTGCTAGCTAAAGCCTAATAGAAACAACACACTAGCTAAAAGCTAAAAATAGCAAATTCTAGCTAAACTATAAAACTTGCAGAATGTTAACTAAAAACTAAAAGTAGCATAATGCTAGCTGAAGACTGAAGCAGAACGCTAGCTAAGCGTAGCTAAATGCTAGCTACAAGCTCAGTTATCAAAAGGCAAGTTAGATAATAAAAATACAAAAACCAGTAGATGAAAACCAATCATAGCAAAATACAAGCTATACTCTAAAAGAAGCAGAGGGCTAGCTAAAAGCTTATTGCAGTAAAATGCTAGCTAAAAGCTAAAATAGCAAAAGGCTTTTTTAAAAGATGATTGTAATAAAACTGTTTTAAAAGCTAATCATACCAAAATGCGAGCTATGTGTTGTAAATAGTTAATAGTCAGCTACAAGCTAAAACTAGCATCTTAAAGCTAATCATAGGAAGATGCTAGCAACCAAGAAAAAATAAGTAAAGGGTTATTTAAAACTAGCAAATTGTAACTAACAGCCAAAACCAGTGGTCTGGTAAAGGTTTATTTGCCTTCTAATGTTTATTGTTTTTGGTGCAACTCTTAAAACACCAAAATACATTTAAAAGGTTAATATGGACTTCTTTGTCTTTAAATTTTTCTTTCATTTTTTGAATAGATCAAATTTGAGAACGTTGAACCGTTTTTTTTTCTCCTCCATGCTAACATGAACATCTGAGTTTTCTGTCTCCTTTGTTTCTGTTTCCGTTTGTTTGTGTTTTTCTGCCAACAACCTGTCGTGTTTCGTCTCCAGAGGTTTTATTTTTAGAACCGTTTCTTCTCTCCACCTCGCTGTGATTCGCTCTCATCAGGTCAAACTCGGGTTCACGACCCGAAACGGTTGTAATAAAACAAAACGAGCGTTTTGAGCTGGAGCTTGTTGAAGAGTTTCTCCTGCTGCTGCGGTTCCTTTTCCTCCTTCCGCTCTTTTCTCGTCTCTGTCGCTTCGTTTGACGTCACAGTCGTCACCCAAACATCTGTTTCTGAACTTCCAGCCGTGCCGCCGACCCCACAGCCCACAGACGACGTGGACATCTACTTCGAGACTCCCGCCGACGACATGGAGCACAGTCGCTTCCAGAGGGCCAAGGAGCAGCTGGAGATCCGGCACCGGAACCGCATGGAGCGGGTGGGTTCGTCGTTCTGGGTTTGATGGAACCTCTGAAGGAGCAGAAACTGATTCTTCACAAACTTTCTGTTCCTTCCTCTCTTCGGCTGCTAATCCAGGTTCGAAAGGAGTGGGAAGAGGCCGACCGTCAGGCGAAGAACCTGCCGAAGGCTGAGAGGCAGACCCTGATCCAGGTAAGACCCTGATCCTGTCCTCGGGGAGTCCTCCTGTCTTTGTCCCTTTTGTCTGAGTGAGATATGAGCTCCTCCCATCATCATCATCATCATCCTTCCTCTTTTTACTCTCTGAAGAGGAAGTAGGGCCCAGTCTGAATGAGTCAGAGCTGAAACTGAGATAAAACTATCTGTCGTCATTAGTTTTCTGCTGTTTTCATCAAAACATTCGGCTGATTCAGGAGACAGGAGCCAAAATGTTATTATTATTATTATTTTTTTTTTTTTTAAATATGATACTTTTTGCTTTTAGCTACCGTTCTGCCACAATAAGCTAGTTAGCCTTTTACTACATTTAGCTTTAACCACCATTCTTCTTCATATAGCTGCCTTCAGCTGTTATAGCTATTGTTCGATACTTTTAGCATCTAACTACAATTTAGTTACTTTTAGGCTTTATTTAGTGTTTTGCTACTCAGAGCTCTTACAGCTAGCATTTTGATACTCTTAGCTTGTGGGCCTAGTGTTGTGCTCCTTTTAGTTTTGAGCTATTGTTGAACTCCTATTAGCTACTAGATATTGTTTCAGATAATTTACCTTATAACTGGTAATCTACTCCTATTAGTTTTTAGCTATTGTTGCACTTCATTTAGCTTTAAGCTAGTGTTTTACTCCTATTAACCTTTAGCTATTGTTGTGCTTCATTTAGCTTTAAGCTAGTGTTGAAGTCCTATTAACTTTTAGCTATTGTTTTAGATAATTTACCTTATAACTGGTAATCTATTCCTATTAGTTTTTAGCTATTGTTGCACTTCATTTAGCTTTAAGTTAATGTTTTATTAGCTTTTAGCTATTGTTGTGCTTCATTTAATTTTAAGCTAGTGTTGAAGTCCTATTAGCTTTTAGCTATTGTTTTTAGATAATTTACCTTATAACTGGTAATCTATTCCTATTAGCTTTTAGCTATTGTTGTGCTTCATTTAGCTTTAAAATAATGTTTTATTAGCTTTTAGCTATTGCTGCGCTTCATTTAGTTTTAAGCTAGTGTTAAAGTCCTATTAGCTTTTAGCTATTGTTGCACTTCATTTAGCTTTAAGTTAATGTTTTATTAGCTTTTAGCTATTGTTGTGCTAATTTACCTTATAACTGGTAATCTATTCCTATTAGCTTTTAGCTATTGTTGCGCTTCATTTAGCTTTAAGCTAGTATTGTACTCCTATTAGCTTTTAGCTTTTGTTGAGCTTCATTTAGCTTTAAGCTAGTATTGTATTCTATTAGCTTTTAGCTTTTGTTGAGCTTCATTTAGCTTTAAGCTAGTGTTGTATTCTATTAGCTTTTAGCT